TCCTAGGATGCTGCCCTGTAGCACCCCCTACGGTTAGTGGTAGAGTGGGAAGGGTTACATCATTGATTGCTGCATATCTTAGTCTGTCACCAAGATAGGATCGAATATAGTTCAGAACAAGGCCTCGGATTCCATAGTGGTGAAGTTTAAGTAAGATGTAGTTATGGTTTACAGTATCAAAGGCCTTTCTCAGATCAATGAAGAGGCTAATTGGGAACTTATTTTTTGTCAAGGACTGTGTAGATTATATCAAGGAGACTAATCAAGGATTCAATTATATCAAGGATTATATCAAGGAGGAGTAGATTATATCAAGGATGGCATCACTGATACTCTTTTGAGAACAGAAGTCAAATTGGTTGGCTTCCATTCAAAATCATTTGCCGTTGGCTGTTAAGATGGGCCAGTCCTCAGGGACTGACGACGACTCCCAGACCTGGTTATACAGACTTAGTAAATACCGAGACGTGCAAGGAGGGAGATGGCGAAGCATCTTATAATGAATATCATCCGAGCCCGCTGCCATAGAACCGCAGAGGGCCAGGGCAGACTGAAGTTCAGAGAGAGAGAGAGAGAAGGGATCGTTATAGGGAAGGCGGAGATGAGTGCGGAAATCTAAGGATTGAGATTCAAGAACGGGCTTACGAAGAAGGAAGGATTGAGGAAGATGCGAACCAGAGCTAACAAAAGAGAAGTGGGAACCTAGTTCGGTCGTGACCTGCACTAATCTGGAACGAACTTACCCGCAATCTTGCGGATCTTCTTCCAGATCTGCAGTAGAGGAGCATCGGACGTAATGGTGGAAACGTAAGATTTCCAACTCTCACGCTTAGCTGTACGGTTGGTCCTACGGGCCACTGCACTTGCTTTCCGAAACAAAATCAAAGAATCAGCCGTCTGTCGGCGTCGGTGTTTTTTCCAGGCTGCATGCTTACAGCGGACAGCCCAAGCACAGTCCGCATTCCACCAGGGAACTCACTACCGCGTGCCTTGGGAGGTAGAACGAGGAATAGAGCGGAGGGCAGCGTCGAAGACGGTGTCATGAAAAAGGAGGAGGGCGCGAGGAAGAGGCCTCCATATGCAAGGCAACAGTCCATCGCTGCTTGCTCTGTGATGGCAATCACCACGCAATTTCCTACCGCTGCCCTCGCAGACAGGAAAGCATCAAGGCCCAGGTTGAAGCCAAGAGAAACAACTCTTCTACAGCCTCGACCAGAGCCCCAAGCGTTCAATCCATCACCTTAGCTCTCACTAATCGACCAGAAGACTTTCCGGTCTTACCAACACGTGGCTCCTCCCAGCAGGCGACACAGCCTTCTCATTGGGGACCCAAGGTCCCACAGGCTCCTTCACAGCCCCCTGCATCACGTGCAGGCATTATCCCTGGTCTTATTACACTAGCGGAAAGGCTTGCAGGACCAGACAACCAGCGCTTTGTTAGTGAACTAAACGCATTATACATAGACAATGGCCTGGCCCCCATCATAGCCACTAGCGTAAATCTCACTGCCTCCTCTACCACTCCGGAGACTACCACCAGGACGACCATGCGGTCAACTTCAACACCGACTCCAGAACCGCCCATGACCCGGGCGACACAAACAGAGGTAATTCCTTCTCCAGCTCCCAACACTCCTACCATCACTATCTTAGCAGCGGCGCTAGCAGACGTGCAGTCTACAAACGATAACAGCACCACCAGCGCTCCTGAAATAGCTACAACCACCAATCAACGACACCTAAGCCTACCTAAGGCTGCGAGGCGAAAGACAAAAACGCCCACTACGGAGGTTACGGACTCCTCAGACGAGGAAATCACAGTAGGAGCTCCACCGCCGCATCACAAATACGACACCTACACGGTTCAAGACTTCCTCATGGAGGCCACGTCACCAAACTCCAACGACAGCACTGCTCGGCCAAAGTCGCAGGCAAAGAAAAAACGGAAAACCTAGAGGTCTACACTAATCCCACCAGCTCCATAACTGGTATAGCCAGCCCTCCAGGCTGAAAACCATCATGAAGACCCCCATCCATCGCCAGATCTCTAGTATCAGCCACTGATACAGATAATGGCTCCAAAGAGCCTCCACTCACGGGCTCACCATAGCCCGTGCTACTGGAACTTATTGTTCTGAGTAGCTGAATCTAAAACAACAACAACAACAGAGGAAGAGGCAGGGAGGTGTTACTCTGCGTGCTACTCAGTGAGAGTAGCACGCAGGCTGAATAGGTTCCAGTCAGCTTTGGCAAACTGCCACCTAGGGAAGGAGAAGGGAGGGTGAAAAGAGAAAAAGGAAATAAGGATGGGAAAATGGTCACTGTTATGGAGGTCATCAAGAATCCGCCACGTGAGATCTAAGTAAAGGGACGACGAGCAGAGAGAAAGATCAAGACAGGGATGGGTGCGAATTCGATTCTACATGGGTGGGCTCACCAGAATTCAGAAGACAGGGAAGAGAGGACGAACGGTTCGAGAAGACAGCCTCGGGTGTTTGTCAGAACATCACCCCAGAGGGTATGTCGACAGTTGAAATCACCCAACAGGAGCACTGGCTCAGGCAAGGAGTCCAGGAGGTGCTTAAGATCAGGAAGGGAAAGCGGGACATTTGGGAGGAGATAAATGGAACAGACTGTATACCATTTACTCACAAAAACTCGGGAAGCAGAACAATGGATAGGCGATAGAAACAGTAGGGGGGACGAAGGGAATATCAGTACGAATCAAGAGAGCAGTAGAGTTATGTGCCTCAGCAAGAGCTGAGGGGGAAGAAAGGAATAACCATGAAAGCGACCAGGACGAGCACCAAGCATTGGCTCCTGGAGACAAACACAAAGAGTGAAAACTGTGTAATCCGAAGTTGGCATAAAATCCACGAATATTCCATTGAAGAATAGACATTATCAAGAAGAGAAAGGACAGCAACAGAGAACAATGGAGAAACAAAGATAAAGAACACAGAATATTAAATAAGCTCAGGATCAGGGTTAGGGGGCATGGGTAAACTGAGTAAGGATTGAGTGAAGGGAGCGGGAAGACAGACCAGAGGCGGACGGGTAGGATCCGGAGGAGACAACTGAGAAGGGAGGTCAAGGACAGCAGGAGGAGGGGGGAGGGCAGAAACCAGAGTGCACCTCAGCAAGGGCAGCAACTGAGAGGGAATCAGGGGCTAAAGAAACCTCCATAGCTGGGACAGGGGGCCCGACCACTGAAATGGGAGGGGACGGAGCTAGAGTCAAGAGTTGGGGGGTGAGGAAGAAAGTGATGCCTTCTTACCTGCCGGGGAGGACGAAGGGGAGGAGCCAGGCTTACGTTTCTCACTCAAAGAGACAGGTGTTCCAGCAACAACATACTGGGCGACAGACTCAAATGTCTCAACAGGAGTGAACAACATGAAGATTGCTGGGAGGGTGATGGACATCAGCCTGGACAGACAGGCGACTTGGAGGGCCAAGAAACTGGGGGGAGGGATAGGAAGAAGGATTGGGGAAAGAAGACACAGGAGGTATGGCAGACTGGGTAGGAAGGGGGGGGGGGGTGGAACAGGAGTAGCTTGGTCTGGGCACAATGTAGCGTGGGCTACAGAGCCCAGCCTACCAACACAGTCCAACTCATGAGCTTGGTCGCCCACCCCACAAGTCTGGGAAGTTATAAGAGGATCATTCATCGGCATAGAAACGAGGAGGTAATAATTTCATTCACGGAAGAGCCCCCATACCCACCATGGAGCCACAATTAGAGGATAGGACACCCAACAAGAGACAGGCTGGGGACCCCAGCAATCGCCACCGTAAGAACTGTCAGTCCGTCGAGATCGGGTTCAGCAACGATAGGATTGACAATAAAAGCGTCCCCTCGCTCGTAACGACGGGTACTACAGTTCTAGGGGTGAGAGTGTGTGCCTCCCCCTGACACCCGGGTGTCTAAACAGATGTCCGAAAGAATAAACAAGACTGGCAAAAGGTCGGCGGTAAAGACAATGAGAAAGGAGAAGAGGGGAAGGAAAAACGAAACATAAGGAGAAAAAAGTGATCAACAGAATTAGTAAAGACAGCAGCAGGAGCATAAGGCTTCAAAAATACAGAGGACCGTCCCATGGAGCAGCACACCCCGGCAGCCGTCTACCAAGCCACCCTCACGACAACGGGCTGGACAGGGAGGGTGCAAAAAGTTCTAAGTAGCACGGGATATGGTGAGCCCGTAGGGGACTTACGTGGCACAGGAGTGGGGCTGTAACTGTCCCCAAAGCCTAGTCTGACTACGTTTACCTGAGGGCCACTAACACTAATGGCCTCAACGAGGACAAGAAGCCGGCGGCTTGTCGAAGTCCCCTCCCATTTGCCTTGATCTTTTCCAGGTAGATTTTAAATCCTAACGCGGTTTTGGCATTTACCGGTTCCATGGGTTTATAACCATATGGGTGAAAAAAGCATCTCCTGTTCTGAGTCCTACATCGAGATTTGTTGAGCTTGAAACCTTGTTTCTTGTTTGTTACATCTGACCTTTTGACGAAATTGTCAGGATCAACATTCTCAAACTTGTTCAGTATTTTAAATTTCAATGAGATCCGCCGTCAGGCCTGGTTTGCAGTGCTGTTAGGCCTGTGGCTCTCAACCTTTCCTGATAAGTCGACTTAGCTTTGGAATGACTTGTTGCACTTTCTCCAGAGAAGCTATGTTTTTCTGATAGTGGTCCCCATGCTTTGATACAGTAATCCAAATGCACTTTGGGATTTATAGTTGAATCACAAAGGTCTTTGTGATAACCTGATCCAACACTGATGCTTGAAGCGGCCCGCAGGCCCACATACCCTTTTGAAACATTTATGGGGATGTAATTCTGGCATCTGCGATTACCCAACTATAGTATAGTATAGTCAATGGTGGGGTGTTAGGCTGCATTTTAATGGGTTAGAGGGACAGACCAACACCAAAGAAAGAACAATATGCATTAATATGTGAACATGGAGTAACAAATTAATAAAATAAACAAATATGACATTATAATTTATTGATGTATAATGAAGCAAAACGTGTATTTATATCCATTGTTTATCTACTTGTTGGAAATAAGATTTACATTTATTGACAAATAAACGACAGGTTATCATATTACTTTTAACCTTAAAGTAAGGAAAAATTGCCCAAACCCGTAGCAATTGTTGGTTAAAGTGTTTTGAAAGTCACCTCTGCTCTGATTACTTGAAGACAAATATCAACATCCATTCAGATACATATTAAAAGTAAGAACATTATTATTCTGAAAATAATTTAACTTCCAACGAGTTATAATGCTCATAATTCACATAGAGCTGACATGCCTTTTCAACTTAACTCTTTAGTTTATTACCTGAGGACAAATATCAACATCCATACTGATACGTACATATTAAAAGTAAGAACATTATTATTCTGAAAATAATATAACTTCCGAGTTATAATGCTCACAATTTACATGAGAGTTCACATGCCCTTTACACTTATAGTTTAAATACCAGACAAAAAATAAACAATAAGCATCACCGAGTTTCCTTAGAAACTGGAACAAATCTGAGTTAAGAATTAAACCTTTTAATATTAATGACAAGCAGTTATCAATGATAAATTATGGTGTTACTTTCTTTGTATTAGCCCTTTCTTTAATAAGCTTAAGTTTATGAATAATTTAATGGTTTCTTATTAATTTCTTATAGTATTTACGGCTTCTTTCATAATTGTGAAATCTACATTATCGTCTCTGACAAACTAATTAAATGAAGTTTGATTTGGTTCTTCAGTCTGCTTCTTGCTTAGAGATGTTTGATGATTACCTTCGATGAACTCCTTGCCTGGTGAATGTTGCCTCGATGTGTCAGATTCCTTGTCTGACGTAGAGTATGGGGAACCTGGTTTCCCATAGGGAGATGGTGGTGGAAGTTCTACTTTACTCTCAAAGGAATAAGATCCAAACATAAAACGCATAGAAAGGGGAGACACGCCCTCGAATGAGGAATCCGATCCTGAAACTGCTTGAGTATCAGTTGGAGTCTGTGGTGTCTGACGGCCCACTGCATCCTGCGGTGTCTGACGGTCCACTGCGTCCTGCGGTGTCTGACGGCACACTGCGTCCTGTGGTGTCTGACGGTCCACTGCGTCCTGCGGTGTCTGACGGCACACTGCGTCCTGTGGTGTCTGACGGTCCACTGCGTCCTGTGGTGTCTGACGGCCCACTGCATCCTGCGGTGTCTGACGGTCCACTGCGTCCTGCGGTGTCTTACGGTCCACTGCATTCTGCGGTGTCTGAGGGCACACTGCATCCTGCGGTGTCTGAGAGCACACTGCATCCTGCGGTGTCTGAAGGCCCACTGCGTCCTGCGATGTCTGAGGGCCCACTGCGTCCTGCGGTGTCTGAGGGCCCACTGCGTCCTGCGATGTCTGAGGGCCCACTGCGTCCTGCGGTGTCTGAGGGCACACTGCGTCCTGCGGTGTCTGAGGGCCCACCGCGTCCTGCGGTGTCTGAGGGCAGACTGCGTCCTGCGGTGTCTGAGGGCACACTGCGTCCTGCGGTGTCTGAGGGCACACCGCGTCCTGTGATGTCTGAGGGCACACTGCATCCTGTGATGTCTGAGGGCACACTGCGTCCTGCGATGACTGAGGGCACACCGCGTCCTGCGATGTCTGAGGGCACACTGCGTCCTGCGGTGTCTGAGGGCAGACTGCGTCCTGCGGTGTCTGAGGGCACACTGCGTCCTGCGGTGTCTGAGGGCAGACTGCGTCCTGCGGTGTCTGAGGGCACACTGCGTCCTGCGGTGTCTGAGGGCACACCGCGTCCTGTGATGTCTGAGGGCAGACTGCGTCCTGCGGTGTCTGAGGGCACACCGCGTCCTGTGATGTCTGAGGGCAGACTGCGTCCTGCGGTGTCTGAGGGCACACCGCGTCCTGTGATGTCTGAGGGCACACTGCGTCCTGTGATGACTGAGGGCACACCGCATCCTGCAATGTCTGAGGGCACACTGCATCCTGCGATGTCTGAGGGCCCACTGCGTCCTGTGGTATCTGAGGGCCCACTGCGTCCTGCGGTGTCTGAGGGCACACTGCATCCTGCGATGTCTGAGTGCCCACTGCGTCCCGTGGTGTCTGAGGGCACACTGCATCCTGCGATGTCTGAGTGCCCACTGCGTCCCGTGGTGTCTGAGGGCACACTGCATCCTGCGATGTCTGAGTGCCCACTGCGTCCCGTGGTGTCTGAGGGCACACTGCGTCCTGCGATGTCTGAGGGCACACTGCATCCTGTGGTGTCTGAGTGCCCACTGCGTCCCGTGGTGTCTGAAGGCACACTGCGTCCTGAGGTGTCTGAGGGCCCACTGCATCCTGTGGTGTCTGAGGGCCTACTGCGTCCTGCGGTGTCTGAGGGCATATTGCGTCCTGCGGTGTCTGAGGGCACACTGCGTCCTGCGGTGTCTGAGGGCACACTGCGTCCTGCGGTGTCTGAGGGCAGCCTGCGTCCTGCGGTGTCTGAGGGCACACTGCGTCCTGCGGTGTCTGAGGGCATATTGCGTCCTGCGGTGTCTGAGGGCACACTGCGTCCTGCGGTGTCTGAGGGCACACTGCGTCCTGCGGTGTCTGAGGGCACACTGCGTCCTGCGGTGTCTGAGGGCATATTGTGTCCTGCAGTGTCTGAGGGCACACTGCGTCCTGCGGTGTCTGAGGGCATATTGTGTCCTGCGGTGTCTGAGGGCACACTGCGTCCTGCGGTGTCTGAGGGCACACTGCGTCCTGCGGTGTCTGAGGGCATATTGTGTCCTGCAGTGTCTGAGGGCACACTGCGTCCTGCGGTGTCTGAGGGCATATTGCGTCCTGCGGTGTCTGAGAGCATATTGTGTCCTGTGGTGTCTGAGGGCACACTGCATCCTGCGGTGCCTGAGGGCATATTGCGTCCTGCGGTGTCTGAGGGCACACTGCGTCCTGCGGTATCTGAGGGCACACTGCGTCCTGCGGTGTCTGAGGGCACACTGCGTCCTGCAATGTATGAGGGCATTTTGGATCTTGAGATTTTGAGGGGCATACTCGAGTCGGTAATGGCTGAGAGTGCACTGGGTTTGGCGATGTCTGAAATATTATTTGCAATCCCTGAAGAGGTGTTGGGACCTGCAATGGCTGAGGGTATACTGGTTCCAGTGAAACATGAAGACGAACTGGTTCCTGCAAGTCTTTACGTTTTCCTGCCAGAGTTTTCTGTGGGGAAATGCGGTCTTCACGCCAAATAATCTCATTCAGTATCTTCTCCAATGTTTGACGAAATCCACACCTAAGAAAATAAAACAAATCATCATGCAACATTTCACAATACTTACATGACAATTTCATGGGAAATATAATATGTTTGTAGTATCTTCAACTATCTATACATTTATAACCTTGATATTTAGTGCCATATATGGAAATTTTCTTTTTGAGATGTCTTAAAACTTATCCCTATACTACTTCAAAGGCTTGAATTAATAATAATTAATTTCCGATTCTGAATTGGCTATAGTAATTGGTTGCATCGAATACAAAATGCTACAACGATGCTGGAAACGCCAAGTAAAAAAAATACTTTCAAATTGAAATGTTTATTCAGGTAAAGTACATACATACAAGGTGTGATACAAACATTGATGGATTTATAGATAGAGCTAGTACATACAATGCCTAAAGCCACTATTACGCAAAGCGTTTCAGGCAGTCTTCTAGACTGCCGGACTTCTTGATAGTTTAGCCAGTAAAGACTTATATCGAGCCCTAATCGTCTAACGACGTTTTTAATTAATTCTTCCCTCGACTATCACAAACGCTGCCACGCTGCCAAAGAAATTCATACTTACAGAAATGTCGTCAAACTATCTGGTTCTTCATCTTGTATACGTAGTTGTTCCCGTTGTTTATCTAGTTGATTCGCCAATTCTTTAAGAAGACACTTCATTATTCTTCCGAACTGTTTCTGAAAGTAGAAGTTGTAATCAAGGAATTAATAGTATACAGATGATGTGTCATAATAACGAGGCTGAAGATATGATGACCGAACTACACATCAGAAGACGGAAGAAATAAGGATGTTTCGGTCACTCCTGGACCATTACCAAGTTTGTATTTATTTATTTATTTATTTATTTATTTATTTATACTAGTATATATATACAAGAAGGAACATTAGGTTTAAAAGAGTACATTGCATTAATTTTTTATATTCTTGTAAGCCACTAACACGCATAGCGTTTCGGACAGGTCCTTAATCTAACAGATAATTTTAAGTTGGTAATTTCTAGCAAAATTGAGAAATGTTAACAGGTACGTTGTAAGAAAATTTGACGAAGATTAGTAGGTACATTATTGTAAAATTTGAGGATTATCAACAGGTGCATTGTAGCGTAATTTGAGGATTATATCTAGGTATAATGTAGTAAAATAGGTGTTCAATATAACTACCATGATATAAGATGATAGCAGTGATTACAATAGTGAAGTTGAATGACTTAGGCACATATATTGGGGGAGTGGGTAGCACAAGATACAGTGAGAGTTTAAGGCACTTGGTAGGAAATTATGAGGATGAAATTAAGTACTTTTCGGTTTTATTTTTGAATAAGGCATAGGTTGGACAGCTTTTCTATTTGTTAGGGAGCGAGTTCCATAGACTAGGTCCCTTTATTTGCATAGTGTTTACACAGATTTAGTTTGACTCTAGGGATGTCAAAGATATATTTATTTCCGGTGTGGTATTATGGGTTCTATTATGTCTGTCAATGAAGAGTTTCAGATCAGGATTTGTGTTTAAAGGTAGATTTGATATTGGTCTGTAATTGATTATGTCTGCCGTATTGCCTCCTTTATGAACTGACGTTACTTGTGCTCTTTTAAGGAAACGCTACGCATACTAGTGGCTGTACAAGAATGTAACAACTCTTGTATATATAAATAAATATCAGGGAAGGTTTGACACTAGAGATTTGTTGAACAGCAGGACTATAGGTGGCGCAAGGGCATGGGAGGCACTCTTATATCATAGATGGTATTTCACTAATGTTCCCAACTTTGGTTATTAGTGAGTGTATGATGGACATAACATCTGTCGGGCTGACTGGTGAAAGAAGAGAGTTTGGATAGCTGCCTGTAAGATATGTGGTAACATGTGTCTGGGTCTGTAGGATTTTTCTGGCAAGATTAGCACCAACCGATGAAAAGAAGCTATTAAATTCGGTTGCAGGTGTATAACCATCCTTGGAGTTTTATCTGGTTATGTGAGTGTTGTTTAGATCCTAGGATGTTAGAGATGGCTCTCCATGTGCTTTTTATGTTGCCTTTTGCTTCTTTGAATCTATTCTCACAATAGGAATGTTTTGCTCTTCTTATTATACTGGTAAGCATTGATGAGTACCTCTTAACTACTTCTTTTGTGACTAGGCCAACCTTCCTATCTTGAGATGATTTCGGGGCTTTTTTTTTTTAGTGTCCCCGCGGCCCGGTCCTCGACCAGGCCTCCACCCTCAGGAAGCAGCCCGTGACAGCTGACTAACACCCAGGTACCTATTTTACTGCTAGGTAACAGGGGCATAGGGTGAAAGAAACTCTTCCCATTGTTTCTCGCCGGCGCCCGGGATCGAACCCGGGACCACAGGATCACAAGTCCTATGTGCTGTCCGCTCGGCCGACCGGCTCCGACCTTAATTTCTTTTTCATATTCATGTTTCTTGTTGATAGCTTTGAGTACGCCTCTTGTGAGCCAGGGGTTGTTTAATCTTTTGGCAGTTACTTGCTTGGTAAGGAGGGGACAATGAGTGTTCTAGTGGCTTAGGGTTTCGGAAAGGAAGCTGTTTGCTAATGAATTTATATCCTGTGTATTATTGAATTCGGATTCTCAGTTTATATTGTGAAGTGCGTTTGTGCGATTGCCTATTGCTGCTTCACTGAAGGTAAGTTCCTTCGACCTCAAGGTAAGTTTCTTGGTATGTGGTGGTGTTATGTCCATGTTTGCTTTGAGGAAGGTAGGACGGTGGTCAGTTGTTCTGTCAGTGATTATATCAGATGAAAGTGGAGTTGTTATGTTAGTCCATAAGTGATTCAAGGTAGTAGCGGATATTTGAGTGATTCGGGTGGGCTTGGTGATTGAGGGGATTAGCATACCGGAGTTCATGATGTTTAGGAAACAGTCGACTTAAGGGCTATTTTGTTGACACAGGTTAATGTTAAGTCACCTTTAGAATGATATGATTCTTGTTGAGATTGTTATTTATGATAAGATTCCTTAGGTTATCTGAGAATGCAGTTATATTAGAATAGGGAAATCTATAGATAGTTCCAATAGTCAAGGAGGATTTAATAGAGAACTGAGCAAAGGTATATTCACAGTAGTCGTCTCTATCACTAATGACACTACTGCAAATGAAGGTATTTTGGTAGTAGATAGCTGTGCCACCTCTTTTTAATTCCCTTTAAATTAGGCTTACAGTTGTGAATGGCTTTATAAGCTATAACCAGCTAAGTTGTAAAGTTGGGTATGGTCTTTACTTAGCCATGTTTCTGTTGAAATAATGAACGATAGTTTAGTACCTAGTGATGTGAGTAGTACATTAATATCATCAAAATGTTTACCAAGTGATCTGACATTTTGGTTGAAAACTGATAGGCAAATGTTATTTTAAAGTTTGTTTTTTTGCAAGGTTTGCTGCGTAATACTTGCAGCAGTGATGATCAATATGCTGGCTATTATAAATTTGTGACAGCAGATTTAGTTCAGGATCAATACCAGCTTGCATGCAGATGCAATGGAGTCAAGATACAATAAGGTAAGCAATTATAGAACAATAAAATACTAAATCTGCTGTAAATATAAAATAACTAGAGCAAAAAAATAAAAATAAATGCAAATACACATATAACAGAAACAAATGTAGGTAAAATAAAGATTACAGTGATTAGACAAGAAGGATACAGAAGTAAAAAAGAAAGATTGATAATAATATTCAATAAGATTATGGAATTAATAAAGACAAACAATTACAAGGTTAATCTTGATTAATTAATACTGACTAAAATAATCTTAAAGTAATATAATCTTAATGATAATTATAAAGTTTAATTATGATCCTATAATTAATATAAACTTAGGAAAAACATGAACTCACTTAATTAATTCTAATAACTGACTAATATTAATCAAATTACCATTATATTTAGAGACAACAGTCAAATAACACTTATGAGTAAGCTTTTACTAAGATACTGAGGTAGATGCTTACATAAGTACACGGAGACTTTACTGAGAAGATAGGAACTTTTATGGATGAGAGAGCAATATTTAACCAATAGAGCGAAAGTCAGCATCTTGGAGAGGGTTAGGCTAGGTAAGGCTCGAGATGAGCCTTACATCACACATGAGATATTTTCAGTATTGACATCGTGTGAATACAGTGATAGTTTCATTGTCACCATTGTGGTGTGATCAACCGTGTATGTAATATGTATATACTGTATGTATATTCCAGGAGAGGAGATCCGAACTGGAGGTGTTTAAGGTTGACCAGACCAAGTTCAAGAACGAGATGTTACCCTTCCCTCACGAGGTCCTTTTTCTGGTTTGAAATCTGTCTTTAAAACACACAACCTTAAACACCTGCAGGCGATGAGTCACAATAACGTGGCTGAAGTATGTTGACCAGACCACACACTAGAAGGTGAAGGGACGACGACGTTTCGGTCCGTCCTGGACCATTCTTAAGTCGATTGTGAGAATGGTCCAGGACGGACCGAAATGTCGTCCCTTCACCTTCTAGTGTGTGGTCTGGTCAACATACTTCAGCCACGTTATTGTGACTCATCGCCTGCAGGTGTTTAAGGTTGTGTGTTTTAAAGACAGATTTCAAACCAGAAAAAGGACCTCGTGAGGGAAGGGTAACATCTCGTTCTTGAACTAAGGATACGTTTCTGTGTTGGCATTTGTACGGGTCGGAGGGTAGTGACCCCAGTAAAAGGGAGCACCTTATTACATGTGCGATAAAGTCCTTTGATTAGACATTTACCCATTGGGACTATTATAAATTGTTTATTGATATTATTCATGATCATAGTTGTAATGCATGACATATGTTTTCTTCAGACGTTGGAGTTAGGAGGAGGGATTTTCCAGTTGAGTTTTGAATGCTTGCTGTTTATTTCCAAACATGTAACGATGCGTTCACATTATATACAAATGTACATAGATTATTCTGCTACATTGTTATGTATATGTGGTTCTATTATTGCTTTAATGCGTACACCCATATATGCTAAACATGAAGTAAGAGGCTATTATTTGCTATTAGGCTATTATAAGAGCCTCTTATTATTATTATTATTATTAAGAAGGCACCTTTAGTAGTCGAGTTCGTTCTAGACTTACAATCGAGAGTTTCTGCTTCGAATCCAGGGTGGGTTGGACGCATTTTTTAAAACCTAATGCTTCTGTTCACCTAGCAGAAAGTAGGTAGCCACTAGTTAGCTTGTGGGGTTGCATCCTGAGGGGAGAGGGGTTGAGTAATTCGACCTTAGGAGGGGGTTCAGTAATTCGACCTTGGGAAGGGGGGTTAAGTAATTCGACTTTGGGAGGGGGTTCAGTAATTCGACCTTGGGAGGGGGTTCAGTAATTCGACCTTGGGCGGGGGTTCAGTAATTCGACCTTAGGAGGGGGTTCAGTAATTCGACCTTAGGAGGGGGTTCAGTAATTCGACCTTAGGAGGGAGGTTCAGTAATTCGACCTTGGGAGGGGGTTAAGTAATTCGACCTTGGGAGGGGGTTCAGTAATTCGACCTTAGGAGGGGGTTCAGTAATTCGACCTTAGGAGGGGGTTCAGTAATTCGACCTTAGGAGGGGGTTCAGTAATTCGACCTTAGGAGGGGGTTCAGTAATTCGACCTTGGGAGGGGGTTCAGTAATTCGACCTTGGGAGGGGGTTCAGTAATTCGACCTT